TAGAATGTAACTACATAGACCTAGATAGTGTAGCCTATGCTACACTAGGCTATATGGTATAACCTACTGAGACCACTGTCCTCTAAACAATCATTGAGTTATTCATGACTATATATTGTCTACTAGAAACTTACTTCAAATTTAATTATAGCTATGTAGAAAATGTCAACTAACAACAGCAACCAAAAATACCTTCCTCTATCTAAGTGAGTTCAGCAAGATCACAGGAATACAAAATCTACACACAAAAATCAATTGTATTTCCATACAGTAGAAGTGAATTCATGAAAACTGAAATTAAAAATGCTTAACATTTACAATTACCAAAAAAAGTAAAAATGTAAATCTGAAAAAATATACACTGAATTTGTATGCTGAAAATTAAAGAAATCAAATAAGATCTAAATTAGTGGAGAGTTAAATCATGTTCGTGAATAGACTCACCATAATAAAAAATCCATCCTTAGCAAATTGATATCCATGTTTAACACAGTTTCCACCAAAATCCTAGCATTTTTTGTCAATATAGACAAAATTATTCTGAAATTTATTTTGAAAGATGAAAGAATTAGAAAAGTTAAAACTATTTTATAAAAGGAGCTGTAAATGAGAGGAACCAGTGTCCCCACTTAAAATTTTAATTGGAAATCTTAGACAAATCACATACTCTCTAAATAAAAAATTAGTATAAAAAGATTTATTAGATAGTAACAATGATCAAACTGTATGGTATTGATGAAGAAATAAATAAATCAATGGAACAAATATGATAACCCAAAAATAGACCTATACAGTTATAGCAAACAATCTTGACAAACATGCAAAACAACTCAATGGGGAAGAGACAGCTTTTTCAGTAAAATGTGCTGTAGCAATTGCTCGTTCCTAGACAAACGAACCCTGATCTACGTCTTCCACCTGTACAAAATTTAATTCAGAATAGATCCAGATTTATTTATTTTTTAAAGATTCATTTATTTATGCATACAAGAGCTGGGGTACAGGCCAGAGGTGTGGGAGGTGAGAGGATCCACCAGAGACAGAGTGGGGAACAGAACAGGCGCATCTGCTGAAATACACTGCTGAGGGGAGCAGTGGGCGAGACAGGAGAGGTCTGCTGTGCCTGCCAGGGATCAAACTCTGCTGCAGTGGCTACAGACAGCTTCATAGGTTGCGTCTTAACCTGTTGTGCCACCAGGGAGGCCCCCTAGATCCAGATTTAAATGTAAAAAGTAAATAAACTTTATAGAGAGAAACACAGGAGAAAATCTTCAGATGTAGGACTCATCAAAGAGTTTTTAGACTTGACATCAAAAGCACAAACCATGAAAGGAAAAAATCTATAAATTGTATCTCATCAAAACTGAAAATGTTTGCTTTGCAAATTACTATGTTTATAGGATGAAAAGACAAACTCTGGACTAGGAGAAAATACTTGGAAATCACATGTCAAAGGACTAGTATCTAGAATACATTCAAAAACTCTCAAAAATTAAGAGTCCATAAAACCCTAACCATTTATTTAGAAAATGGTGGAAAGGCATGAAGAGACATTTTGCCAAATATTAATAGTATACACAAATGGAAATAGGCACTCGACACTAGGCAAATTGAAACTGCTCGGAGATAATACTACGCACCTAACAGAATTCTGGAAAAAAAAAAAGAGAAAGAAATAGTGACAACACTAAATGCTGACAAAGATATTGAGAAACTGAATCTCTCATACATTCCTGGAGAGAAGGTGAAATGGCATAGCCCCTTTGTATAGCATTTTGGCAGTCTCAAAAAATGAAACATTCATTTTTCAGACAATCCAGAGATTTGCTTCAGAACATTTCTCCACGAGAAATGGAGACTTATGTCCACACAAAAACTTGTGCCTGTGCAAAAACATGTGCAGCTTTATTCACAATAACCCCAAAATGGACACAACCTAGATGTCCTTCACTTGGTGAATTGTTAAACAAAATATGTAGTATAGCCACACCATGGAATACTACGTACCTGCAAACGCTGAGTGAAAAAAAAGTGAATCCTAAAAAGGTTACATACTGAATTGTTAGGGGGAAAAGGATGTCCCAAAGCAAATTCCATATAGGCTTTGTGGACTCCACCCCCACCCCAGGTCAAAGCCAAAGACACTGGGAACTCCAAATCCCATCCCCACCAAAGGGAAGGTGGCTGGGACCTGAGGGTGGGGTTAAGCAGCCAGGTGGATACAAAAGGCAGACACGTGGGCTTTGGGGGGCTCTCCATTTTTGGGCTCTCGGCCAGCTCACAGCGTCCGGCCAGCTCTGAGAGTGACTTTGGGTTTCCAGGTCGTTGGATCGGGTAGGACGCATTAAAGACTTTATTTCCCCATTTTCTCCCTGAGTTGTACATTTTCCTTATTTCTTTTTCTCTTGTAAATAAACCTTTTATTAACCCTTTTGCGTGTGTCTGTAGTAGAGTATTCATAAGTCCCTTTAAAGCGCGTGGGTGAGGACCCACAGCCAGGAACCTGTTTAATATCAGGGTTGCTCTATAACAGTATGACTTGATTTATATTAACATACTTGAAATGACAAAATTAGAAAATGGGGCGGGGGGCAAATTAGTGGTTGCCAGGGGTTATGGAGGGAATGGGAATGGGGAAAGTGGCTATGCCCCAAGGGATCAACATTCGGGATCTTTGGAATGTTTGGGATTTTTGGAACGTTCAGCATCTTGACTGTATCAGCATCGATATCCTGGTTGTGAGATTGTCCTATAGTTTTGCAAGAAGTTTCCATTGAGGCCAAGAGCACACAACAGCTCTCTGTGTTATATCTTGTGCCATGTGAATCTATAAAGATCTCAAAAAGCTAGATACAGAACAATCTCTTAACTCCCAGATTCCCAATTTGCTGACCATACTTTCAGTTACCAGAAGGAACACTTCAAGCCCTCAACGACCATGTCTAGCCGGCTTCCTCTGATATTCCAGCCAAGCCCGTCCTCCAAGCTTTCACACTGTGTATTTAAAACATGGAATGTCAGGTCTGGGATATTTTGTAACTGATCAAATAACCGGTCACTTTGTTGGGTTTTGGGTCTCCCAGAACCTCCATGGATAACCATTCAAGTAAATAACCATTCAATTACCATTCATAGCACAGGCAGTTGGAGGGCCCGCCCCTCCAACTCCCTGCCCTGGGGCGGCTGCCTTTAGTCCTGTCCTGCATGCATATTGCAAAGCTCCCCCTAAAGTCATCTTTCAGGCATGGGACCTGCCTGAGGCCACAGAGCAGGCCAAGCCATTTTGTGGTGCTCACAACCCAAGCTGCTGCTTCAAGGCTGTTTCATTTTGTAACTTAGACCCCAGGCTCAAGGCAGTCTGGACCTCACTGTATACAGACAGGGTGACATTGAGACATCAGTTTTGGGAGAACAGCAGTCCTTTGCAACACCACTGTGATGTAAAGTTGCTTGCGAAAGAAGGAAGGACACGAAGGTTTGCTGAGGTCAGTGTGAGCAGGGGACATTTCTCACACTTCTTGGTGATAAAGGCGTTGACATTCCCGGCCTGCAGGTGAGGAGACTAAAGAGCACAGGGCAAAAGGAGAAGCAAAGCTGATGTGAGCCCAGATAGTCTGGACTCTTAAGTCCAGTGTGTGTTCTTGAACCCCAGTGAGCTACATTACTCTGACCTGTGTAGATGCACCAGAGGTTTTGTTTGGGGGCCTGGTTCTGGAGCTGAGAGAGCTGCAGGAATGGGGATAGAGGGACAAGGCCTGCACCACTGTGCCTCTACCCTACCTCTGACCCTGACCCCCCGGCTTTGATGTGTGTGTCTTCCTGTGTCTCTGGGTGGGATGTGTGTCTCTGTGTGTGTGATGTGAGTGTGTGCCGGTATGCATGGGTATGCCTGGATATGTCTGTCTACCAGTGTTTCTGTGTGTGTGGGAGGGGGTCTGTTCCCTTCTGGGTGGGCTGTGTGTGTCTCTCTGGATGCCATTAGGCTGTGTATCGAGTATGTCTGTCTGTGGGGAGGTCTGTGTGCATGTGTGTAGTGTGTATACATGTGTGTATTTGCTATATCTGCATGTCTCTGTGCATATGTAGTGTAAGTGTGGCTGTGTTGGCTGTGTCTGTACAGGTGGTGTCTGTGTGTGTCTGTGTATGTAGAGTCTGTGTGGCCTGCTTGTGTGTTGGTAGGGGGGAGATTTGTGTTCGTGCATGGTGTGTGTGTGTGTACGTACGTGTGAGTGTGGCGTGTCCGCAGTCACTGAGACTTCTGAGCCCAGCTCTTTTCGGGGACCCCCGGGTGGCCACCCTAGGGCGCGGCCTTCCGCGACTCCAGGCGGGGAGGAGCGCGTGGTGGCCGGGTTCGCGGGCTGCGCCCCTGCTCCTCCCCGCGGGCCGGGCACACGTGGGCCCCGGGCACCGCCTCCCCGCGCCGCCCGCCGGTCCCGCGCGTCCCCACCCACCGCGGGCCGCCCCCGCCGCGGAGCCGGCCCGGGGATAAAGTGGCGGCGCAGACGCCGCGCCCTGTCGCCACGGAGCCGGCGGCGCGCAGCTCAGCCCAGACGAGGACCCGCGGCGCTCGGGGGACGCGACTGCAGCGCTCGTGGCCCCGGTAACTGCCTCCCTGTCCCCGCTCCAGCCTGCAAGTGCCGTCACCAGGGGTGGGGAGCAGCCTCGGGGGTCCCTGGCACGCGCGGCGTGGGCTCCGCACCCGCCGGTGCGCGCGTGTGTGTGCAGAGGGTGTGCGCGCATGTCTGTGCGCGCGCGCGCGCGCGTCCTTCCTGCTCCCTCGCTCCAGCCCCCGAGCCAACTTGTACCCGTCAACTGCATCTTCGCGCTCCCCGCTGTCCCCGCGCAGAGGCGCCCCGCGAAGTCTCCCGGTTTTCCCTGTGGCGTTTCCAGTGACAGCTGCGGGGCTCCATTCCCTGCGCTGTTGGAGACAGGCAGGAAGCAAAGTTTGTCAGGCGCCTCGGGGGTGACTTTGCCTCGGGGACCCGTATTTGTAGGTGTGCGAGGTGCCCCGGTGTGCGCCGCGCTAGTTTCCCTGGTTCCCGGGCTGTGGGTGCCGGGCCCGGGGCCCCTCCCTGCTCGAAGCCCCTCCAGCGATTTGTTTAGGGAAAGTGATGACTCGAACTAGTAGTGGAGAATCGCAGGCGCTGGTCCCCGCCCTGGGGAGGGAGGGAGCTCCGGAGAGCTTGTGAGATCTGGAAGCAGGCTCCAGGGCTCAGCGCCCCAAAAGCCGGAGAGGCAGGATCTGGGGGCAGGGCGCAGGGTGGGGGAGCAGGGGCTTGGGAGCTGCTTGAATGCCGCCCTGTGACCGCCGAGATGAGGGAACAGCCCTTATTTGCCAGGCTCTGATTCTCGAGGCCGACGTGGCTGTGGAATGCAAAAGCCAGAACATGATGGAAACAGGTTTGTCATGGCATCTTTGGAATTTCAGACAGGAGGAATTAATCGGAGTATCATCCACCTCATTATTGTGCCCCTTTGAAACTTCCTTGGGGATTTTAAGATAGATGGATCTCGCAGCTGGGTCTTTATACCCACAGAGCTGACTATAATTTCCACTTGATTACAGCTAAAATAGTCTTTAAGATGAAGTTTCCTGAAATGATTTAAAATAAACACAGATGGGAAGGGGGGAAGCTGTAATGAAGCACTTAAAAAATAAAGTGAGCATTTTCTTAAGAACAAATGGGATTTTTTAGTCTTGGCGAGATTGCAAGATATATATGTTGTTTTTTAAAGCTTTGACATGGAGGCTTTTTAAAAACTGCTTTTAAAAGACATGTTACTGACTCCGAACAAGGCTTGCCTCCCCTAGCTCTGTGTTTTTGCCATCTTCCTGACTTTGAATATGTCCTCTTTTCTTCCAAGGACTGGAAGATCCTGTCAGAATGCCCGAGGAAAGTTCTCCCAGGAAGACCCCGCAGAGCGTCCCCTACCAGGACCTCCCTCACCTGGTCAATGCGGATGGGCAGTACCTCTTCTGCAGGTACTGGAAGCCCACGGGCACACCCAAGTAAGTCTTCCCCCGCCCCAGGCTGCTCGGAACATTCCCGCCTGCCTCTGCTCCTTCCTGGGGCTTTGCCTTGGGGGCCACTTTCTCTGTGACCCACTTCACATGCCGTTTGAATGTTAGGCGCCGCAATGCTGGCAAAACGGAGATGTACACATTCATCATTTTTTTAAATAAAGAAGCAGGAGTTCTATTTTCATTTTATAACAACTAGGATGCGGATCCTTCTGTATGGTCATATTCAAAAATTACCCGTGACTTTATTTTTTTGCACTGGAGTGGATTTCCTGTTGTACAGGCATTCCTTTTTCCCAACCATTACAGAAAACCACCCTATCAGATAGGGAAATTAGAACCTTTTATACAAGATACAGAAAACAGAGAGAGAAATAGAAATGGATGTAGAAAATACATAAACTAGAGAGAATATATTAAAAAACAGAAATACATACATGGTAACCTTTGTTCTCTTTCCTGTATGATTACGCGCTTCAGAAGGTGTCACATGTGTGTAGCTGGGAAGAAGAAAGGTTCTGGGTATTTCCTTCTGATTTCTTGCCAGCTCAATTACTTTGTACATTCTCCATCAAGGATTTGTCTTGCCTTCAGAAGCCGGCATTGGGACTACACACAATAAGACAGCTGGTCTGCTGCTCCCTCCTCTTGTATGAAACAGGGAAAACCCGACTTGTTTGTGTTATTCAGGGAAAGAAATTATTTGTGGTAACCAATTGACCTAGTGACGAGCAAATGTTTCCTGTTTATTGGGCATTTTACCTGTTTCAGAGGCCTCTGTTTCCTAGGGGACACGGTGTGCATCCTGTCTCCTTTTGTGTTTCAGAAATCGCCCAGCCTTTGCAAAAGTATAAAATTTCACCTCTATCTTCAACAAGGTGTGTAATCCAGGTAGCTGCACATTCACCAAGAAATACGGACTTTTAAAAGATCTGGCTGAAAATCATAGCTTCAAGGCAGCTATACAAACTGACTGTTGAAACAGGCTGTTAATTGTTCCTACCAGTTCTGGCAATGTCTTTCTGAAAGATTTCCTGCAGAAGAGAGTGGGTCTGTCTGTATGTGCATATGTATTTGAGGAGGGAGAGAGCCTTCCTAAGCATTGTTGTTAATTCTCCATTCTGACTTTCTTTTTTTAAAGATTTATTTATTTATGCTGGGGTATAGGCCGGAGACGCGGGGGGTGAGAGGATTCACCAGAGACAGAGTGGGGAACAGAACAGGCAGACTGACTGAAGTACACTGCTGAGGGGAGCAACGGGCGAGTCAGGAGAGGTCTGCCTTGCCATGGGGGTTGCTCCTTGGCTGGCTGGGGATCGAACTCGTGCTGCAGAGGCTGCAGATTGCTTCATAGTGCGGTGCTTAACCCCTTGCGCCACCAGGGAGGCCCCCCCATTCTGACTTTTTTCTCTACTCTGACTTAACTGGTTGTAGGAATGAATACTTTTGCTTTGAGTCCTAACAACTTAGTTGGTATGTGGTGAGTTATTTTTCAATATAGACAAAGGACTGAGAATGGAAAGTAGAAGTTTTAAATGTCAAAGTCTAAGACTTCGACATCTTTCTTGGATGAGTGAGGAGATTGTGCTAGATTGAGGTCAATGAAGTCACATGGGCCTGCCATCTTCCAGTGGGGGCGGGGCGGGAGGGTCATTGCAGATAGCTGCCCTTCGTTGCCTGTGACCGGTTTTCACAGTCTCCATGCTGATGTTGCCTTGTGGGGAGCTGCATGGTAGGGAGCTCTCTCTCTGCTGCTTTACTTTTGCTCCAGCTCACTAGGTTGAAATGAGCTGTCTCTGGGAAGTCAGTGTTTGTGCTGTGGTGGGTGCCCTTGGGGATAAGAACAGAGTGGAAGGTTGAGGCCGTTGGGCCCTAAGCTTTGAAGAGAAATGTGGTTTGGGATGGCAGGTGATGGCCCAGGTCTCAAGTCTCTGGCCTAGGTGACCTGGCTCCTGCTGCAGACCCTGCCTGAAGGAGCTCACCCACCTCGGGGCTCGCCTCCAGCCCCCGGAGGTGATGCAGGTCAGTAAACTGCTGTTTGGGTTGGGGCACCTCCCTCTCTGTTAGGAAAGTCCTGGAGGCCCCCTGTAGTGAAACATGGTAACCCTGTGGTTGCTGGGTCTTGGGGAGTGTCAGGGGCTCCAGGAGGAGAGCTCGTGGCAGCAAGAGTGGCGGCGAGGCAATGGGGGCAGAGGTTTGTGCCAAATGGCATGGAAGCCTTTGCATATCTAAGTAACTGAGACCAGCCCCTTGGGCAAGGCCAGCTGCTAGGCAGGCTCCCTCTCGCACGGCCTGGTGCGTCTCTTCTCCTGTCTTTCACCTTTGCTGTTGCTGCTTTTAGGAAAGGGGAAAAGAGCTCAGGTCACCATGGGCCTCATCCTGGCCCCGACACACCCTGTCCCCCTCTTTGGCCCCAGGCCTTCCCTCTATAGGTGGGGAAAATGCTGGTCAAATGTCATCTTCTCTCCATCTCCCCCACACACTTTTAAATCTTTCTCATTGAGGCCCTTGGGGTCTCAGAAGCCATCCCGGGATCCCCTCTTGTGGGGGTATCTACCTACCTCTGTTAGTGGTCACTGGTTTGGATTGGTTTCCTGGTCAACAAGTTGCCTCCAGCTCCTTAGGCCTGCTCAGAGCACCTGAGCACATTCTCTCACTGAAGCCTGTGCTGGGCTCCAGGACAGGCTCTGCAGGCAGCTCGGAGCTGTGCTGGATCACAGGTGTCGCCATGACTGGTAACCGGCTGAACCTGCTTGTGGAATAAATGATGCCTTTGTAAGTACTAGCTTCCTCACACTGAGGCCTGGGAAAGAAGACATTTCATGGGGTGGTGGCTACAGTGTGTGTATCCAAACACAATAAGGTTTTTAACATAGCAGAGGCTCAGTATTTAATAATTGTGAACCGGAGATTTTTAAGCCTACATTTGGCAGGGCCCAGGCAAATTCATGCTCATCTGGTAGTATTTACGGTGCTAACAACAAGCATTATACTTGTGGGGTAGCAGAACTATCTCATACCAATTATCAAGTATGTCTTGGGGTCTGGACTAGATGCTCTATGTACATGGCCTCACTTTACTTTCACATCAGCCTGGAGGCAAATATTATTCTCTATGTTTTACAGATGAGGGAATGGAGACCCGACACAGCCCAGCTGGCAGTGGCTAGATTTGCTCTAGATCCCTCTGACTCCAGTTTTCTTAACTCACCCCCACGCAGGGCAGCTTTTGTTTTAATTAGTGCTGTCTTCCTGATAGAGCCTTACATTGTTTGTTAGGTAAAGAGTGATAGAATAACTAATTCTCCTTAATTGTTCATCACATATTAAGAGATTAAGGAAAATGTATCCATTCTGAAACCAAAAAAAAATGTCTTTGATCGCTTGGGGGGACTGGCTGCCTTGTCCAGTATCCTGGAGTTTTAAACTGCTGGTTGTGCAACAGGTTTCTCCTGATCAGCAGGGCAGTGGAGTCTGGCATAGACGGGGCTGAGCTGCTGTGTGGACTCTTGTGCACCTTTGAGTGACATTTTGCCCCTTTGAATTCAGTCCACCAAGTGACCCTCAGCCCACTCAGAGGGCTTCGCATTCACAGCTGAGGGTTCCTGAGCTATCCTCAGAATTGTGAGGCGCTCCTAACCCAGGTGATAACCGCGTATAAGTTTTGCCCCGGGGAAGGGTTGCTGCTGGGGGTGATATGAAACAATGTTCAGGGTGATGACTTCGACTGCAAAATAGTCCTTTGATTCAGCCTGACCAGGAAGGCAGGCGAGTGTGCTGTAAGTGTATGGCTGGCCAGATGTGACCCCAGCACATGTGACCCAGGCATGGACCAGATCACATCCTTGTGCTTATCAGCAAGGTCTGGTAGAAGTAGAGGCATGTTGACGTGCTCCGTTAGCACTCTTCAGCTGGTGGCTCCCTCATGCTGTGCGTCCTTGGCCTCTGGTAGCCCTTGAACTCCGTAGCCCTGACAGGCTTTCCTTCCAGTAGCTTCTATTAAGATCACAGCTAGTGTATTGAGGGAGCTGTTTCGAGTGTGACTGTCCCTTGCTCACAGATGTCCCAATGCAAACCCCTAGGGAGGCGAGCCCTCCCACCCTGCCTGGAGAATCACTGGAATTCACGAGTGACTCATCTTTGAAAGTTCCATCTAGCATTTTGTTCCAAATTCCTCTGTATTTGCAGAGATCTTCCAGAGCAGAAGGCCCTGGAGTTCCTTCTCCAGACCTTGTTGCTTTTGTGCCCCTTTCATTCCTTGCCTGGCTTTTCCCTCCTGTGACTGCAGCCACCCTCCCCTCACAGCTCCAAAGGACTGAGCTGCCACCTGCCCCCCAACAGTCCCGCAGCGGGTGTGTGTTTAGGATTTTCATCCTGATGACTTGAGGTTGGGGTGAGTGGGGGGCTCACGGCAGGGGGTGTGGCATCATTTTGGGAATCTCTCCAAGTTCTCAGTAGTGGCTTTGGGTGGGGTCAGTAAGTGAGGCTTCCCAGTCCTTCTGCCCCCCTTTCTATTCCTTAATCCCTGGAGTGGGACTCAGCTGACATCTATACCTCTGCCCTGCCCTCTCCTCCGGCACCTTGACCCTGCTATCCACCACACCTTCACAGCCCTAGGTGGGACCTTGGCCAATGCCACCTTACAGCACTTCCTCCTGCCAATGCAAATTAACCTGGAGAAGTGCAGTGTCCCAGATCTGGGATCTGTTTAAATGCTACACGGCATCCTCCCTGCCTGCCACCCTCATCATGTCCTCCTTTCATCAGTCACCAGCCACGTGGGTGTGGCACCTGTGGTCTTCCAGTGCCTCCAGAAGATAAGGGTCCCTCCCAATCAACTGGCTCTGGACCATGGAGATGCCAAGTCTTCACCAACTGGCTGGACATAATTTCGACCCCCACTGCCCATCAGGAAGTCATGTTCTGGCCTTTTCCTATTCTCCCCTCTCCCTTAGATTTCCTAATCAGGTTGTAAGTCAATTATTTGG